CATATATAAATTTTTTTTCAAAATAAATAATAATGACCACTAAATCCAATAAAAGAGCTATAAAACCAAAAAGTACTTCTCAACAAATGGAAATTGATGATGATAATATCAATAATAATAAAAAAGTTATAATCACTACTGAAGAAGACGAAGAGGGTGAGGAGGAAGAAGGAGAGGAGGAAGAGGAAGGAGGAGAGGAGGAAGAGGAAGGAGGAGAAGATGGAGAGACTGTTGATGATGATGCTTATAGTGAAATATTAGATTTTGTAATTAATTATTTTTAAAGTAAAACCCCATTTTTTGGTTTTTTTTACTTTACAATATTATTAATTTTTTTAAAAAAAAAGAAATTCAATAAAGATGATGATCCAACAAGTTTAACATTTAACATATCAGAAGAAGATCATACATTGGGAAATGCTTTACGTTATGTAATAATGCAAAAGTAATAATTATGATGATGATGATGATGATGAAATTTTTATTTTTATTTTTATTAATTGACTTGATTTTTTTTTTTTTCAAAAAAAAAAAAGCCCAGAAGTAGAATATTGTGGATATTCTATACCACATCCATCAGAAGATAAACTTAATTTACGTGTACAAACTACCAGTAATTAATTTCTTTATTATGTTAAAAACTTTCATAATATATTAATTTTGTATTTACAAGTATTTTATTTTATTTTCATAGACAATATAACAGCAATAGATGCAATGCATAAAGGTTTAGAAGATTTGAGAAATATATGTGGTCACATAACAGATTTGTTTGTTGAATCAAATAAATCTTATGATAACAATGAAAATTAGGAAATTAACAATTATATAAAAGTTTCTTTTTCTTTTTTTTATGTAGATTTTAACCTTTTAAATCTTTGTTGAAAAAGAAGATATTTTTTTGAATTGAATGCAGCATGATTTGTTGGTATATGAGAGAAAGTTGACAAATATAAGATAATGCTTTTCTAGGATCATATTATTATTATATTAAATGTTTTAAGAAATAAGTAGTAGATGATGATGCCTCTTTTTAGCACCATAATCATTAGCAATTTTTAGATTCTGAACATGACCAAGTACTAAATTCAATAATATCATAGTACAAACCACATGAATATTTTTATATAATCCAGATTAATGTCTATGATGCGAACAATTCTAGTTGGATGTAGAGCTCATGCTAGATATAATGTCAAAAACCCATTACCAGTTCCACTTTTTAAAATTTTTGAATATGGATGTAAATCAAGTAAACCTATCAATATGCAAATATATATGTATATTTATTATCACTATCTGATTGATTATTGATAGATTAAATTAAATTATGTAATATTACAATTGTGCTGGAATCCTTGGATGAATTGGAGTTGTATGTCTTCATACATTAGAAAATAACTTGAGAGAGTGTGTGTGCGTGTGTGTGTGTATGAGAAAATAAAATAATTATTTTAAATAAACAAAATCAAAGTTGGAAAATGAATTTATCTAAAAAACCCCATCAAAAATTCAATAGTGGATTTCTAATAACAGAATCATTCCTTTATGTGTATCATGTTTTCCATTTTTACTCAAAGGATTGAATAAAGTTGTTCTTGGTGTTTGATTATTTTTTGGTAAGGATAATGAAGACTAATCACATAATTAAGGTTGCTTGCCGAAATTCCTCCAGAAATCAATCAGCAGGGTTTCGGCAGGTTACACATTAATTGTTTATTAGAGTTTTGGCAGAGTTTCACATTTTGAGGTTTCGCCATTTCGGCATAGTTTCAACAGGATTTTTGATAAGATTTAATATAGTTTTGCCATTGTTTCAGTAATTACTAAGTAGGTTTCACCCACAACCTTACACATAATACTATCATACCTCCTTTTATAAATTTAGATCTATCTAATTTAGAGGAAGGGGGTAAGGCTCTGAACAAATCAATGAAATTTGAACTGATTTGAATTTGAATCAAATTGAATCAAATTGAATCACTTAATTTTTGATTCGTTTCATTCAAATTGAATTCGCATCAAATCCAAATTGTACTTTGATTTGATTCAACTTGATTTGAACTGATTTGAATATATAATTTGATTTGAACTAATTTGATTTACTTGATTTGATTCAAACTGATTGATTTGAATCTATAATAATAACAACTGATTTGAATCCATAACATCCAGAAAATATAAAAAAATTTTACACATGTCAATTGTAAGTTTAATAATAAAAAAGTGTAAAACTTACATCAGCACTGTAAGATTTACACAATATTACGTCGGCATCGTAAGATTTATGCAAGTTTATGCTAAATTAATTTCCTGATGAATTGAATTAAATACACATATATAATAAATGAAAAATCTTTATTTTAATGTATATTTTATAATTTTATTTACAAAAATATTTTTTATTTATATAGTATAAATATTTTTTTTAATAATTTTATTTAAAAATTTATTATTGTGAATCTTTTAAAATGCCCTTCCACCAATTTTTAAGGCACATACAGCACCTAATTGTATCTGCAGACAAACTGCATCTAGTTGGTGTAATTAAATCAGTACCACCAGAAAAGATACTTTTAACTGGACACTAGATGCTGGAATGGCAAGATAATCCCTTGCCATTTTGGCTAGATGAGGATATTCCAGCTTGTGCATCTACAAGAAAATCATATCATACATTTTAATTACATCAATATAATCAATTATTTTATTGTTAAATAATAAAATCTAACTTACCTTCCACCATAACAAAACATCAGTCTTTTCTTGTGCATTTGGATCTTTGAGGTACAAATTTAATTCATTGGAATTGTGGGCAATACGTTTACACTTATAAATCTGACTTGTTAAATCATCCTCACCATCATTTTCATTATTACTAATTTCAGAATTAATTAATTTTTGTGCAGAGTCTATGTATCTTCTTTCCCAATTATCTTTTTTATAATAATTAAGTTTAAGTCTGGGGTTCAATACTATTAGAAAAATTATGATTATTATAATTTATTATTATGAAAAAAAAATATTGCTTCTTTATTTATTAACTAATTAAGACAAATTAATATAACTTATGTCTTAAAATGATGGTTACTTGTTATTATTGTATATAATGAAGCATCGGTTTTATTATAATATTGCAATAATTTATTTTTTGCTTTAGTTATAGTGACTTTCATTTCATCTGAAATATCTATCAAGTCTTCATAATCTTCTAATTGGTTTATAAGCCAATTATATATTGGTACAGAGGATGATAGTGTTGGATAACCATTCGGAAAATTAATACAAATATAAATTATATAATAAAATTAAAAATAAATAATAGATAAAATAAAGAACTAAAAATAAATAATAGATAACTAAAAATAATAAATAAACACAAATAAATAATATAATAATATAAAATAATATGAATAATATTACTCCAGATTTTCGGGGTTATTGATCAGTGGAAGGGCTTGGGAAGAGATTGTATTGTCAGAAGAGATGGATTTTGTATCCATCATTTCCATAGATGTATTAACAGTGAGTTTAGGAGTTGAATAGGGACAAAAATCAGTTGGCTTATTGAATGAACAATTCAAATTGCAGGTAAAAGATTTACTATCTTTATGAGCAAGTATTTGCCCAAAACAATGATTAGTATTATTATATTCATTTGTTAATGTATAAACAAATGTTTGATTGCAGTTAATACAAGCAATCAAGTAGTAGTCTTCTTAAGGGCAGACTGAAGAAGATCTGTCAATTTTATACCTACAATAATTCATATCTCTTTTTGACTTTCAATTTTCTTTCATGCTCTTTTTCATACTGTTCCTTTTGTATTTTATTTAATTTAGGTCTGCCTCTGGCTTTAGGAGAAGACGTATCCCTGTTATTGATTTATTCATATAAAAAAAAAGTAGGAATAGCCACAGGAAAGAATTTAATAAACGATGTTGTTATTTGATAAATCAATCTAGTACTAGTCTCTAAATATGTATTATTAAAATGATACTTTAATAAAACTTACTGATTTTGTATACTAATATTTTCTCTTAACGAAGGCTGACAAGTGGAGACAATCACCACCACCATCCTTAAAACACTTACACTTTCGCTTCTCCTTTGTTATTTTCTTTTCTTCTTTTTTGCTGGCAAGGCATGTTTATAAAAAAAAGAAGTTTGTGATTTGATGGACGTGTACACATTAATTATTTGGGGGCTGTTCTAGGAAAAAGTGGGTTTCTTCAGATTTTTTGTTTTTGAGATATTCATAAAAACAAAAAGCACCCC